TCAGATTTTAAGTTTTAGTTTGCAAAAATCAGATATTTTTATATAGATACAAGTTTTTTATATTTAATTAAATATTAATAATAATATTATAAAAATTCATTTATATACACCCCAACTTACCCCACCCAAGTTAAAATCCCTAATTTCTCACCCCTCTCTCTCTCTACAGTCTCCCACCCATCGCCGCCCCCCCTCTCTCTCTCAATATTTCTCCATCGCCGGCACGATACCGGTGGAACTGGATGCGATCTGCCCATGGGAGCTCACCCGAGCCAGAAGGCTCCAGCATGTGCTCGATCTCATCATTTTACACGTCAACAGCGAGCACCTTGTGCAGTGTCTCGCTCATGAGCTTCTCGCAGAGATGTGAACCGATGAAGCCGCCAGCGCCGATCATGCAAATAGTAATAGATTTTATTGGATTCCTGTCCAGATCTACTCTTCCACTCGCCATTTTTGAACTTCGCACTAATTTCTTCGATAATACAGATTGGGTGATTTCTGCTAATCGTTGGTGGCGTTGTGGGTCTGCTGGTGGCGTTGGATTGTCTTCTAAAGGCGACGGGCAGGTTGGGTTGATAGTTGGGGGCGGTGTGAATCTGTGTTGGTGCGTGGGGGAGAATGGATGCATTTAAAGGTGGAAATGGAGGGAGGATAGTTTCTCAGAGTCCGTGGCCTTACTTCAAGCATTTTCACACGTCTCAGTTTGGTAGTTTTTGATGTGGTGGTTGTCTGTGGATTCTTTGGTGGGGGATGGTGTAAACGGAGAGGGTGGGGGTGTGTGTATGTGTTGCGGGTGTGGTGGTGGGGGGGTTGGAAATAGAACATAATTTTTGAAGTTTAATATTAATTTTTTTGTTTCCCAAAAATTGACTTGCTGGGGATCACAAAAACACATTAATTATTTGACACAACGGTTGAACTTATAAGCAACTTAAGCACCTATAATTTATCCAAACCTGCATATTTCATAAAAGTGTATATTCTCAAGTTTAACCCATCATAATATTATTTTGAGCTTGTATAATTGCAGCAGAAGCCCCGAACTTTTGAAACACTATCACACTTTCTCTAAACCTTTCAAAAGTTGCTGTCGTCACCCCAAATATTTTCAACTGTTGTATCACAATCCCTTTTAGACGGTTTCCGTCCATATTTCTTTTAGTTAACCAAAAAAGTGAGTTTGACATTTTTTAAATAAATTTATAAATGGTAAAATAGTAACTTTCTATTTACTACATTAAATAATTAAAGTAAATGAATTTAAAAAAAAAAAAGAAAAATAAAAATCTTTATCTTCTTCACCTAAAACCCTACACCCCATCCCAAACCTAACCACCCAAACCAAAACCAATATCACCTAGTCACCGACGGCATTGGAGCCAACACCGCAAACTGCCGCACGCATACTTTTCCAGTTCTCACCCACCTCGTAAAACACATTCTTAGTACTCTCCAACCCTAACCCCATAACCAAATTAAAACCATGTTCTTGGCCTGGATTCTTTGATTGGGGCAATAATTATTAAATTAATTGAAAATAAACATATTATAGTATGATGTGGCCAATTTCGTTAATTAACATCCCCAAACCCGTAAATTGAAGGATTTGACATGGATATTGTCGGTTTTGCCAAAATTGTTAGAAAAGATGTGAGGTTCTTGATGCTTTGGACGTTGATTTTGATCTATATATGTTGTTGTTTGCCCAATAGTATGTGAGGTATGTGTTTGTAGTTCATGGCTGGTGGTTGAGGTGTGGAATAATTTTATTGCTTGGGTTTGATTTTTTGTTGGGGGATGGGGTTGCAGTTTTTGGGGATGGCAGTAGTGTCAGTTTCAATGGTAGCAACGGTGGTGGTTTCACCACCACCGCTACCTACCCACCTCAAGTGGTGTCGGAGCTTTGCGGTGACATCGGCAGTTGCTGACGATTATAGGACTTTTGCTACAATTATACCTAAAATAAATCGATTTTTGAATGTACTGTGAAATTATACGATTTTAAAAATTCAACCATTGAATGTTTAAATATTAAGAAGAAAAAGAAAACAATGAAGTTCTCAAGACCATGCGCAATTTCAGTAATAAATTCTATAAAAAAAAAATTAACGGTTTGTTTGGCGCAATTTATTTGAATATTATTTTTCCTCAAAACTCATTTTCACTCATACAATCTTTTAACAAAATGATTTTACACATGAACTCGTTGACTTTTTTTCTATATTTTAATTATATGTTCTCAAAAAAATTATTTTTCACTAAATAATCTCTTCCAAACAAACTGGTGAAATTGACAATCATGGAGCCACTGGGTCCATTTTGTGTGCGTCGGTTGGGTGGGTTTTGGCCCATTTTTGTCTGTTTGAGAATCATTAGTTGGGCCAATTTGGGCCCATTTTATCTCACTTGTTGTAGAAGGCCAGAAGCTAATGTTATCGAAGCGTTAAATGTCAATCGAGTATAACAATCATTAATCATCATTCTTGCTCGAGCTGGCATGGTGGATCGAACCATGAACATTAACCAAATGCTTCATAACCTTAATTTTTCTATTCAAAATCATTTCAACACAATGAAAGTAGCATGAGCAAGGAAAAAAATATTGAGAGAAATCAATGTAACTCACCCCATAATTCTTGTAACATGAAAATCGTCGACTTATGTTCACGTCTGTTCAAGAAGTACTTAGAACAACTGGCACTCTATATTGGCTATAAATATGACATTTCCTCCATAGTCGTGAATCATAGTCAAGTGTCGAGGACCCAGATAAATAATGCGCTAAATCAACTATTCCAATTGCAATTGAGTGAAATTATCTTCTCGACGCTTTGAGGAATCGCTCAATTTTTGCATGATCATCTTCTCTCGTCTTTTTTTACGAACATAGTTTCTTCGCTCTAATGGCACTACATCTCGAAATCATGACGAGGATCAATGAATAATTTAAATTTTTATATAATCGTCCAACTAATTATTATTTTCTCCAAGACAATGGGGACTAAATTTAATTTCAATCCATGTTCACAAGTCTTTTGTTTGCATCTGAAGTACCATGATAATTCTACTATTGGCTCCAAACTACGCGTAAATATCGCGAGATTTCAGAATATAATTTAAATTTCATTTAGTCGCCCCAACAAAAATTATTTTTCCACGTCCCATACAATTTTTTATATTTTTGTCTACTCGAAAGTTTTTAATTTCACGTGCTTGTTTTTAATTAATTGAGAGTTGTCTAGTCTAATTCAACTAAAATATTGTGTTGCCCTATAGTGAATTTATCTTCTTCTTTTTTTTACTTGAATTTTTGCATTATCATTTCCTCTCATCCTTTTCACTGACGCTGTTTCCCTCTTACCATGGCACTACATCGAGGAATCACGAGCGCCGATGAATAATTAAATTTTATTAATCGTCCAAGCAAATATTATTTTCCAAAGAAAATGGGGACCAAAAATAATTTTAATCCATTGTGAAACTGGCAATTTGATTCCAGATGAAGTACAATGACAATTCTACCATTGCCTCCAACTAGCCTAGGAATAAGGAATGTCCTCCCAATCAAAGCTTCCACAGACCCTTAGGACCAAAAATAGTGCAATCCATATTTCACGTCATTTGTTTGCATCTAAATTACAATGGCAATTCTACTGTAGAAAAATTTCATTTCCAAGAAATTAAGTATGACCAAGAAGCAGTGTTTAAAACTTTAAAAAGCAGATATTAATTAATTTAACATATGTTTTATTAATTAAATATATTCAGGTCACAATTCTATACAATTTGATCATAATTATTATCGAATTTATTGGTCATAAACTATTTCTCTGTCACAAATAAAAAATTTAATGGGCCACAAATTATTTCACGGTGACGAATCAAAATTTTTACATATCACATATCAAAAAATTATAGATCACAATTTATTTATAGATCACAAGTCACCAATTTTATGAGTTATAATTTATTATACGGTCACAAATTATCAAATCATTAGTTACAAATTAACAAATTTTTAGGCGACATATTATTTATTGGTCACATATTGTTTACAGGTTATAAATCAATCAATTTATTAGTTACAATCAACTATATAGTTTGTGACTGTCACATGATGGAAAATTTCAACATATATGGGACCACACGTAATATATTAAAATGTGTGATGCTATTGTTTAAAAAATATTAGTCAATTAAAGTGGTCCATTAAAGTTAATTTTGACTAATGGGTATTAGATTTCATGTAAATATAGTGTAGAGATTGGAAGTTTGTTCTAGATTGATGAGTGGCCAATTTGAAACAATTGAAAGATAATGACTATTCAGTTATTATTATTATATTAGGTTATGGTCCCCAAATTGATAGTGGTTCTTCAGATTCTCTGTATCCTCATCAATAGAGATTGAAATTCAAGAGAATACCACTAATCAATTGGAAGATCGTAACCCATTCGGGCAAACAATCAAACAATATGGATCAAGGTATGCTTCCGCTATTAATTTTCTCTTGATTTCAACATGGAGTATATTTATGCATGTGATTAAAAGATTTGATAATGTTTTGGTTGATAATCCTTTTTAAAAATCTCTAACATCACCAACACTTGTGGCCATAATCTCACCAGTGCCTTGAACAGCACCGTCGCCAACACCATCGTTGCCAAAATCGGCGTCGCCCCACTACCTCCCAGTAGCAACACCACCATCTCAAACAAACAACACCCCCAACTACTTCACAACCACCATCGGCACCGACGGAACACCGCTTCACCTTACCTCACCTCACCTCACCATCACTACGGCACCATCCCACCAACATCATCACCTTCTGACCTCCACTACCACCACCACCTGCACCACCAACGATTCAGCCCCGCCATCGATGCCACCAGTACAACTAGCCCTCCATCTCTATCACGCCACAACCAAAATTCCCACCCAAAAAAATCCCTAAAGCCGCAGTCGTTAATACCACCACAATTGCCGGTATCACCAACGATGCAGCTACGCCACAAATCATACGCAATCAGAGGAACACAGTGGCGAAAACACTGCTGCACACTACCAACTAAAAAACTGCACCACCCCACTGCATGGCCTCTCTAGATCGCAGTTGCGTGCTACCAACAAGATCGTCATCGGCGCTTCATGCTACCAACGCTACATGGCCTCGTCGTCGCTGCGTGCTACCAATGAGAACACCATCATTACTTCGTGTTACCAATGCTCTGTGGCCTCTCGTCGCGGGCTAGCCACCGACGTACGACACCGTTAGAGAGAGAAAAGAGAAAAAGATAGGGAGAGAATGAATGAAGAAAGGCTATGGAAATATTTAGGGTTTGGAAGTGAGGTAGGTTGGATGGGGATATGTTAGTTTATTTTATTTTATTTTATATTATTATTAATATTTAGAATTTTAATTCTATTAATCAGAGTTAAACGTGCGTTACACGTTATTCTGAAATATTTTATAAGTGTTGTGAAATTAATATTTGATCATTCATTTACCATTTTGATCTAAATATGAAAGAAATGCAAGTCCTTGAAAATAAATGATAATTATTATACATACATGTAAATATTGAAATGCATACTTGAACATGAATATTAGAATTACAACTAAATATAAAAATGAAGATGAATAACAAATACGATGCATGAATTAACGTGAAAACTAATTAATTTAGAATTAATATAAATGAATATATATACGTGACAATGAATGCTAAAATATTTATACTAAATGAATAAAATTTAATTTTCAATTAAGTGAAGCTGGATGCTAATTAGAATACATGAACGTGAATAACGAACTTCATTTTCGAATGTGAAATTCTAATTAATATTAATTAAATGAATGTGAATGTTACTGTTAATGTTAATGAATTGATAATTAATAATAATTACATGGACGTGAATGTGAATTTGAAATTCAAATTAATATTAATTAAATGAATGTGAATATTAATTAAGTGAAGTCAATGTGAATGTGAATATTAATTAATTGAAGTGAATGAATGTGAATGTTGATTCTTTGAGAATTAATTACAGTGAATACATGCATGAACAAGAATTTTGTAGTATTGATTTCAGTTTGTAAATTAAATACATATTGAAAAATGAAAAGTCGGGTATTATTGAAATAATTAAATTGTTGTAGGGCTATAATCATCCAAAAAATAATTCCCACTTGATGTGATATTTAATATATTATAGATCTAATTTTTGAAAAAAAAAAAACTTGAAACTCTTAATTATGAATCGAGATCTTGAAAACACTTAGGGCATGTTCTTTTTACCGTTTTCAAGTCATTTTCTGTTTTCGACTTTTCAAAACAATGAAAACGCGTTTTCTTTCCTATTTTCGAAAATGTACTTTTGAAAACAAGTTAAAAATTTACAAAGAAAACTCAAAACGACAGTGTTTTCAGTTATAATCAAGCAAAAATTTTTAAAATGTGTTTTGAGTGTTTTTAGTTTAACGTCACCCCAATCACCACCAACGCCGCCTATACCACACCGCCGTCACAACCACCATCATCGCCATCTACACCACACCACCATAAAAACCACCGCCGATGCCGCGGCCACAACATCACCCCAACCACTACCGTAGCCGCCTACACCATACCACCACCACACAACCACCCGATCACGCCGTCGTCGCAACCACCACCATCGCCACCTACACCACACCACCATAAAAACCACAACCAATGCCGCTGCCACAACATCACCCCAACCACCACCGCAGCCGCCTGTACCACACCACCACCACACAACCACCAAATACGCCACCACATCCACCACGACAAAAACCACCACCACAGCCACAAAAATCATCAAAATCACTGCAGAACCACCACCACACCACAGTCACAGCCACCACCACAGCCACGCACCCAAACACCACCGCCACACCACGGGTTCCAATCACCGCCACGCCCAAAAACTACCGCCACAACCTGCACCACACCATTGTCGTACACCACGCACCCAAAACCACCACACACCACCGCCATAGTAAAAAGAGAGAGAGAGAGAGAGAGAGAGAGAGAGAGAGAGAGAGAGAAAATTGTCGCGATCGCAGTCACAACCAACGACCATCGCACACCACGCACAATTTTTTAAGTAAAAAAAAAAAAAAAAAAGACGAAGTCGCTGGCTATATCAGCCACAACCAACCATAGTCACACACCACACACCGATCGCAACCATCGTCGTTGCTCGTCGATAGAGAGGAGTAGAAGAAGAGAGAGACGACAGAGAGAGGGGAATGAAAGAGAGACGAGAGAGGGGGGAAGAAAGAGAACGGGTTTTCCAATTTTTGATTTTTGAAAACAATTTTTCAAAATACTAAAAAAAAACACATTTTCAACAATCTCAAAATGAACACTCAAAACACAAAACTCAAAATGAATTCAAAACTCAAAACACAAAACTGAAATATAAAAGAACAGCCCCTAAATCTGTGTAATTTCCACTTGTACTATTGGCCCCCGACTTATTGCTCATGTAACAAAATAATGCACAACCTTTAAAAAAACTATTCGATTCCAAATATTTCAATATAGATGAAAAATAAGGTTTCATAAAGAAAATTGACTTAATTTCTACTAAATTATCATATGTCCTCACATATCCGGCTCTATGAAATTAAGTAATTGCTCCACAATTTGAGGCGATAGTGAAAAGTTTAAAATGAGACATATTTTTACTAAGGTCACATGACTATATAGTGAAGACTTTGACGGTTTTCGTAAGTGAAGAACCATTATACAACTATAGTGAAATACTAAAAATCAACTTGCTTTGTATTAAAAATAGTTGGGTTCAAATTTTGAGGAACACGATGAAAATTTATAAGGGATTAAGACGTATTTTCAAAGCGAACAGTACGTATAATACAACTACTTGGTCATAGAGGCTTGGGTTGTTACAAAGATAAATGCAATAACCACTAGTATACTTAGGCGAAAAGCAAGAGTTATATTTAGACTAGGATGTATAGTTTGTTTGGGCTTCGAGACACTGCAAGAGGAGTTTAACTACTTTCCTATGAACATGAGTAGGTCGGTTTACTTTGTTAATGTTTTGGATGGGTAGGAGTGAAATATTGGAGAGCGCCAATGCTACTGAGATACAAAGTGGCATTTTCAAGGAAAACACGATCCTACTGAAAACATCATCGCAATGGAAGAAACACCTATCATTTGAGTCTTACTAAGAAAATCTTAAATGTACTTCACTTGAGTAAGGCGAATACCGGAAGCATTACGCGTAACCTCAATGCCAAGAAAAAATGGAGCTCTCCTAAGTCTTTGAGAGCAAACCTGTAATGAGGATCTGAAATAAATATAGAGATCAACTTAGAAAAGTTACCTTTGATCATTGTATCATCAACATAAATGAGCAAGGCGGCCATTTACTTGGATGTATAAATCTACAAAGAATAACTTTATTTTGAGCTTGAGAATCCCCAACTAGGCATTGTAGAAGCGAGCTCGTTGAACCAAGCTTAGGGCGCTTGTTTAAGGCCCCAAAAAGCTTATTTTTTGTCCAAACCTTAGCGTGCTATAGTCCAAGTTATTCATATGGTCTCTCCATTAGTGCATCTGTCATCTTTCCACACTTGCACAATCGATGTAAGATAGTATTTGTAAGTCATGTGAAACGGATATATTACTATTATATTTTTAAATCGCAAGTGTACGATATCATAACAAGTAATATAGTAGACATTTGAGTCCGGATATCGTTCCCATGGGAACTATATTTCAGGACTTAATCTAATTTTTCTAACTCCTATTTGATAAAAGCAAGTAAAGAATTATAATAGTTGTGATTATTATTTTTTTCTAACTACTTTTAACTATTTGAAAATATCAAAATTTTACAAACAACAGTTGATTGAATTCAAATATGGGATAAATTTCAGGGCATAACAATTTCATCTATTGATCACCTTAATTCTTCATTCAAGATTCATAATCTAATGTAGTATTCGATCAAATTCTTGTATTGTATTCAATTTACTCATCTCGAGTTCTCATTGAGCCTATTTTACTAACTAAATTCCATATCTATATGTGAATCAACCTTAGTTAAATGAGACACTAATTTTAAGAATTCATATTATGACCATAATAATTAGTATATGTATCTCTATACGTTATATTAATTTACCGGATTTTCCTATATGGTGTAAATCTCAAAATCACCTCTCGATTTGTAAAAGACAATTATCAAATTAGTGCTCAATTAATTCAATACATTAAACTCATAGTAAACCAACACACATAAAAATAAATTACAAAAATCTTGAATAAAAGAATAAAGAATCACAAATCGACTACATTGTTTGCCATAATATGAAAATTAGTTACTCATATGTAAAATAAACACAAAAAATTGTCTTTGAATACGTCACCGGATTATTTCAATAAATCCTCCTTGCAACCATTTTCTGTGTATATATATATTCTTCTCCTTGCAGCGTGCGTTTTTTGTGTAAATATATTCTTCAGTAGCAGCCATTTTCTTTTCTTTATTTTCTTTCTCTTTTCTGCCTCTTTCCTCCCTCTTTTCTGTGCGTGTATGTATATTTTCTCTCCCAGTCATCGTTTTGACTCCAATTTCTTCTCCCCTTTTTTCCATGTCCATGTATGTATATTTTCTCTGTAAGCCGCTGTTGTCGACTCCAATTTCTTCTCCCCTTTTCCCCCTAGGCATGTATGTATATTTTCTCTGTATGTTGTCCCTTTTCTTTTGTATTTATGTATGTTTCAACATCAGCCCTTTTTTCTTCCTCCTTTTTATTTCTTCTCTTTTTTTTTCCTCTGAGCAGCATTTTTTTCTCCCTGCAACCCTTTTTTTTCTCTCCTTTTCTTCCTGCTGTGTATGTATATAATATAATATATAGGTTTAATTTTGGGCCTTCAATTTAAAGCCATTGATGTTATATTATCCTTTAAGTCCCTCACTTTCTAAAGTATGAGATTTGATCTCCAAACTTTGCATCCAATAGTCAATTTAGTCCACGTACTTTGGATTTTGCCATTTTTTCGCTATGTTGTATTTTTTTTCCTCCAATTTTTCATCAAACATAAAGTTTTACCTACAAAATGCAATAGAACATAAATTATGTAGAACTTTATCCAAAGGACAATAAATTATCATTATTTAGAGTCTCAAATAAGTGTAGAAACTACACTTATCAATTATGTCTAAATATCTCTATTGTTGAGTATATTGTACGTACTTAACATGTTATAAGTGCACATATATATTACATGTTTGATTTATATATGACACATTCAATTTAAAATCTCAAGCAACATGCTATAATCAAAATTAATTATTTTGATGATTATTTAATATCAAGTTGATTGTTAAAGTTCGCATTTTGAATGTACATGTCAAATCATGAAGTAATATCTTGCAATATAACAATTGTGTCCTTGTCGGCTATAGATAAATATTTAATTTAAATATTATTAAGTCAAAATCAATAATTACTTTTAATCGTATATAATTTTTAGGGTTCATAATTTTTATTAGGATTAATCTACTCTACCAGGCCTATAAAAGCTGGTAGAGTAGTTGTCTCACACGAGGACCCACCTCATTAAAAAAAACCCCCCAAATGTTTTATAACCCACCCCCCAAGACACATTTGCTCTGCCAGGTCTTTTACCGACATGGCAGAGCAGCGCGGTTCTTTTTATTAATAACAAACTATACTATCGTTTTCCACCGTGAATAGGATTGTTGCATGCAAGAATGAGTTGGATTGGATGGTTTAATCTCCCTATCCTGTCATTTATAAGACAAGATTGGATGTGCTACTTGCAAGAATGAATTGGATTGGATGGTTTAATCTCCTTTATCCTGTTTGTTTAGCTTTTTTGCATTTATAATCCCAACGCTTCTCCTCTGTCTGTCACCCTCTACTCCCCACTCTCTCCTCAGAATTGTAATCGTTCACCATGTCTCGTAAGCGCTCCTGCTCCATGCAAATCTTGATAGCAGTCTTCGTTTCTTGCTCACTCTCCATAGGATTTGCAGCGAACTCCACTGACATACTCTACGAGCTTTATCCTCTCATACGTGTGTACAAAAACGGCACAATTTACAGATTAATGGGAACAGAAAGAGTTCCACCATCATTTGATCCAACAACTGGTGTCATATCCAAAGATATTCAGATTTCGCCCCAATTCAGTATAGCAGCTAGGGTTTACCTTCCTAAAAACACTGCCCACAAACTTCCTCTTCTCGTCTATTTCCACGGCGGCGCTTTTTTCACGTATTCCGCTTTCTCGCCGTTATACCACAACCATTTGAATTCACTTGTTGCAAAAGCTAACGTTATTGCAGTTTCAGTTGAATACAGATTGGCTCCTGAATACCCCCTCCCAATTGCTTATGAAGATTCATGGCTTGCACTGAATTGGGTTGTTTCTCACTTTAAAGGTAATCGGTATGAAGTATGGCTTAATAATTATGCTGATTTTGGAAGAGTGTATTTAGGTGGAGATAGTGCCGGAGCCAATATTGTACACAACATGGCTATGCGGGTCGGGTTAGAATGTCCAGAATACCCCATAAAACTCAGTGGGATTTTTCTGAATTGCCCATATTTCACAGGGAAGAACCCAATCGGGAATGAAAATGGTAACCCTATTATGAGAAGTCTTGTTGCAAACATTTGGCTACATGCTTATCCGAATAGTACGGGTTTGGATGACCCGTTGGTGAACCCAGCTATGGATTCGAAACTTTCGAAATTAGGGTGCAAAAGGGTTTTGATTTTTGTTGCTGGGAAAGATTTTTTGAGAGACAGAGGTTTGTTTTACAAAGAGGCACTGTCCAAGAGTGGATGGAGTGGTAATGCAAATGTTGTGGAGACTAAGGGGGAAGATCATGTCTTCAATTTATTAAACCCTACAAGCCCAAAGGCAATTCGTATCCTCAAAACATTGGCCTCTTTTCTCAACCATGCCAAATATTGAAGATGCTGGATCTCCTATGCTGCATGGCTGAAGTAATAAACTTGAGTTCAATTTCCCTTTTAATCCTTGAAATTATATTAGTTTGAGCATTTGTAATCCCTCTCCCTGTAGATGCTCTCAATATCATGCATCAAACTTGATATAGACGATGATCGTAATTGTAACAATTGTAAAATCCCTTGTTGCGTATGTTTCGATCCGCATAAAAAGGCTTAACGATCTAGGCGCTATCTTAGAGAGTGGCTCAATTAGACATGTCTAGAACGTCTAATGAGAATGATATCATGCCCAAACAACCTATGAAGTGAAGTTGCTCGTAGATTCCCTAGCAAGCTCACCAAAAATCTGGTTAATACACTTCACTCTATTGATAGGAACCAAATAATCATAAACAAGGCTAATCACTTCACTATAAAATAAAGTGGCAATGTTGATGCTGCCACGTGTCGCGATTTCCCATCGTGGTCATAATTCAATTTTTTTTTTTTTTTTTTTTTTTGCCTTTCTTTTTTCTTTGGATTCAGTTTGAACATAGTTATGTAAACCAATAGTTTGACGCAGCATTCTGAATTTTCCCACACACCTGAATCTGACACACGCAACATCTTTCTCCATTTTCCCACACTATCAACCATACATCTTTACTTCTCCTCCATTTCCCCCCACACAACCACCCATATCTTGCAAATCTTCTCCTTTCTTCTTTCGTCTTTCCTAATCTTTTTTTCTCTCCATAGTTCTCTATATGCTGCTCTAATTAATTAGATACAAATGTTGCCTTTGTTCAAGCCAATAAATCCTCTTTTCTCTCGAACCCTTAAAAAACTTTCCACTGCTCCGTCGCCATGGCTGCAACTTCAGCAATCCTACTTGCCATTAGCGGAGTTGTGAAAATGGGCACCCCTGCACAGGCATATTTTGAAAGCCATAAAGTCTAAGAATCTAAAGCCCTTGTTTCAGAGTTGTGCCGCCAGTTCTAACACCTGGGTTAGGGTTCTGGATTGGTGGCGGCATCATAATCAAAGTCCATGATGACTCAATTCCTAAATCCCGATAGCATATTGTCATGTTCCCTTCAGGTACTTGAGTATTTTTTTGGTATATTACATGCATATTTGGTGTGTTTTATGGGTAAACGTGATATTTTTTGGTCTTTCATTTCGGATTTTGTGTGGGCTTAGTTGGGCCTATGTGGTTCTCTTGACACATATGGGCCGGTTTCTATTTTGACCATTTGATTGAGATCAATTGTTGGGATTAAATCTTGGCTTTAGATATTTTTTTGGCTTGACTTTCTCTTGATATTCACGTGGGTTAGCTTCTTTGAGACACTACCTTCTCTCCCTCTTAGTCTCTCGTCTGCTCTCTTTCTGCCTCGAGGGTTTGAGGCTGCTATCTTCCCCTTTCTTCCGTTGGCCTAGAAATCGACCCTTTAGCCTGTTGATTGAAGAAACCCCTGTTATACTTAAGCCTGAAATAGTGGCTAAGTTGTGTTGTGTTTCTCTGAGGCTTAGGTCTGATTTTAGGCGTGGTTTCTTGGCAGTTTTGGTAGACCTCTTAGTCGATGATCCAAGCCAAGATTGAAGGAGGCTTGATTGGTTCTTGATCTCTCTCTGGACGGCGATTGCAAGGCGTGGAAGGCTGTTCCTGAGCCTATGTCATTTGACCTTGAAGAAGGAAAGAACGACCACAGCAACCGGGGAAAGGGAAGTAGTTTTCTGCCCATATTTAAGTTCTGATTTCAGTACCTTGATATATATACATTCTGCCTTGTTTATTTGTCTCGATTTTATGATGTTCAGTCCTCAGTACTTTATGGTTTCTGCTGTTTGTTGATTAATATATATGCTAAGCAAATGTTAGATCATTATGCTATATATTTTGTAAAGTGAGGCAAGTCTGATTCTGAGCTGTTGAACTTTGGTAGCATTGTCATTTGAAGTCTATTTATTGCTATCTATTTCCCAACAGATTTTGTAAGTGAGAATTGGATTTTTTTGGGTGCTTTGTAGGTGTGCAAAAGAAAAGAATGGTGGGTGAGGATATGTATATGTTATCACCAAATGGATCTATTTTATCTGAACCAATGGCAAATCCATGGCCCCATAAAACTCCCAAATGTTCTGGTTGCGCTCCCCTGTTCATGAGAGTGTATTTTAAGCTTAATTATTCAACACTAAGTCTTCGTTCTTAAGGGTGTATATTGCATGTATTCATCAAAATTTCGGGGTTGCCTTTAAAATTTGAGTTTGATCAAGCTAAAATTTGGCTGAAGTTTGTCCCTTTGGATTGTACATTTAGGTTCCACTCTCCTTATTATGCTTTTTATCATTTCAATGATATCGTGACTCAGATTTTCCGTTAGCGCCAAAATAAATTTTTATGTAAAATATAGCTTCTCTAAATTAGTGACTACTATCGGAATTCCCATACTAAGAAGTATGAAGTTTCATTACCATAGTGGGCTTATTATTTAGGAATTTGGATAAATAGGATTGGAACTATGTTGACCTATTTGTTCTGAAAAATTGATGGTGTTCGGTGAAAATGAAATCAATTTGTATCTTTTATTTGTTGTCTGATCACGGAACTTGATTTTGAAATTATAGAAGTGGATGATCTAAAAATGGCAGCTGCTAAATATGAGGAGATATTCTCTTTTATGTTATATATAACATTGTGAAGTTGTATTTTTAATCTACGCCATGACCAATGGTTTGTTAGAGATATTACACCGATAA